TTGGGAGAGGAAAACCCCGTGAAAACAATTTCCAGTCTCTTTTTCACATATGGGGCTGTTTTTAAAAAATGAAGTTTCCAAAGAATCAGAGTAAAATGGGCATTATCCAAGAATATGCAATAGAACAGTTAATTTTCACTAAGTGATGGTGAATTTATAACCCCCACTAACTTTGAACTGAGCATATGTATTACACAGTTTTTCTTTATTTTTGTTGTATATTTTGATGTGACTTTGTTAAAAGGTTAACGGCTTCTAAGTTGCCATTAAATAGCATGACAGCTGGAAAATGTGCTGTCCTAGATGGATCAGTTGTTTTCTTGACTTTAAAGGAAAGTATCACTTAAAAAGTGAGCTGTGAAAGTGTCCTTGAGAAATTAAAACAATGGGTAAAACTAATCAAAATCTGAAATCCAGGAGTGGAATCTGCTGCATTGCCTCTTTTTGACCAGCAGTGGTAAGATAAAATTTGATGGTACCAACATGGTCATTCGTATGGCAGACATACCATAGGAATAAGATAAGGAATAATGTAAGGAAAAAGAAATTGTCTTTCAAAAAATTGTAAAATCGGTCTAATTTTCAAAAGCAGTGCAATATACAAAAAATGTAATTAGATAGAAATTAAGAGCTTGAATGAGAGAATTAAAAACAATTTTAGGAAATACAATCAAGGGGTCAAAAATTGCATTTCTTAATGCAATTAAAATGTTGTTTTTATGGTTTGTTAAGAGAAGAAATTTGCAAGTATAACACTTCTTCTCATTAATATTTCAAACCAGATGTAGCCACGTATATAAATAGAAATACCTTACCATATCAACAATCTTCCTTGAGGTTTTCTTAAAGAAAAGGAAAGTAAGCTCATTCTCATTCTATTAGTTATACAGAATTTTTGTTGGAATACACCAAGAAAACCCATGTTCCGTAAAGAAAGAAGAATAATGCATTCATATCCACTGTTGGAATTGTATCTGAATTCTCCAACTGGAAACACACAATCAGTGTTTTACTAGTACGCTATATGGGGTATGATATCCTTCTTTTATTTATTGTTGTATCCCTAAGATCTAGAATCATATAAGGAACTTAGTACTTAATTAATACACATTTCTTAACTAAATATACACAGAAGTTTAATTTACTTACAATATGAAGAAACATTTAAATGGTACTGTGTTTACTGCAATGTACTTTAAGTGGGTATTTGTATGTAGAACTATTCCTTCAAATCAGTGTTTTGGGTGGTTTTTATGTAAAATTTCCATGACAGTAAATTTCAGGAAAAATATTTGGTCAGTATTTGCTTAGGTAAGCAAATATAATCACAATAAATGAGAAGTGTAGGATTTTGTAAAAATCAAATCCACTAAACGGTAAGATCTCCTTTCCTCACTGGAAACAAGGAATTTAGTTAATCATTTTGAAGCGGGAGAGCGACGTTCTTGTCTCATGGAGTCAAGATTGAATCTCATGTACAGAGGAGAGTGAGTAAAGTGATACAGTTTTATTAAGCAAGGGCACAGAAAAAGCTCTCAGGAGTGAGAGGGGTCCAGACAGGGTTGGCAATGTGGGTTTCCACTGACAGTCTTTTATTTGGAATTGACCAGGGAACTTGTGGCCCTAACATTCTTGTGACGTCTTGGTTTGAGTAAGGACTGGTGATAACCTCTTTAATGACTTACTTCTTTGGGTCTGGTTATTCTTTGTTGTTCATAATGTGACTGCCCTCTGATGCCCAGGGCAGGGTGGTCTGGTTTGTTCCCTTATCTCTGGTTTCCTTATGCCTCAGCATTTCTGGGATTTTTGGTGAGCCTGATGAGGTAGGCTCTACATGAGTCTAGTCATGCAGTCGCCTCTACCTATCCCTCCCTCCTTAGTCCTGCCTGTCCCTTACTCAATTTGAGTCCTGCATTTATTAAAGTAATGTAAGTAACACACATTATATAACCAATAAGAAATTTAGAAGTAACTTTAAAATTTGATTTAATTTTAGTGTTGTGACTTACTTCCTGGGAGATGCTGGTAGATTCCTTAGAAGAAAAGAGAAATAATGCATTTCATTCACTTATCCATTTATATGTTAGTTTTCCGCCAAGCAGTTTCCCATTTTATCATAAATGAAACACAGAGGAACAAAAGAAGGCAAATCCTTAGGTAGCTGAGGGTGTCTGTAGGCATTTACCTTATGGACCATTGGTAGGAAGATATTTGGAAACTGGAACTTAATGTATGAACTTGAGTCCTCACTCCAGTTGGGATTCCTCTCACCCATTTTATAAAATTGAGGATGGGCACCAGGACTCCTGAAGTCATAGTATTATTTAGTGATTTCTAGCAAAGACAATGGCATTGGACATTTCTGCTAGGTCTGGTAGCATACAAATAGAATCTTGCTAATTTTGAATATGTAGGGTTAGTCTGCTGCCCTAAATGTTTCCGATCATTGCCACACTTTCTAGTTTCATTTTCCATAATTCCCTAACTAACTTGTACAGAACTTAATTAATATCTGCTTCTGGATGCCATGTTGTCTTCACAGGAGAGCCCCTCACCTCACTGGCAGAGTGGTACTTTGTTTTCTATATAAAATTAGAGAGTAATTTTCAATTTTATGGTCTAATGAAATGACCAGCATGTGAGATATCTTCCCTCTTTAGGAGGAATTTAGTTGAATTGGGCTTCCTCACCAAATTCTTGTGATTTCCTATAATAGTAATATAGAAATATAACTCTGTAATTGAAAGAAATTATTGTTCTAACTTAGTGTATTTATTGTATTTAGGAGCTGCTTTAAGTGTTTGATTATAGATATTAAAGTTTCAAAGCTTTTCTATTTCAGATGAAAAAACCATTTTGACATTTAGGATGTTCCTTAAGCATGTGGCATTCAAACAAACAGCACAAAAATTTATTTCTCCTAACGATGGCCATGATATCTTTAGCCTCCATGGGCCATTTAAGAAAATCATTCACAATTTAAGAAATAGGAAGCACAGAAAGGGAGATGATTTATGTAGTCTCATAGTTTGGGTATGGCAGGTCTGGGACTCAATTCCAGGACTTCTGACTCCAATTCTCATATTGTTTACAATTAAGTGCCTGCTTCCTATATTCAGTTTCCTATTCTATCACTTATTCCTCATGTTTGAAAAATCCACTAGCCAAAGGTGATTACAGATGTAAGTGGAAATATCAACTGGACTGTATGTAGGCAAATGATTTCACTTCTTTAATTTCAGTTCCCCTTGTAAAATAGAGATGAAATTCTCTACCTCTGCCTTCCTCAAAGACAGCTGTCAGATTCAAGTAAAATAACATAGAAATAAATACTAGGACAGTTCAACTTATCCTGACTCATAATTGGTGTTAGCTATAGTATTAAACTATAAATTTATAGTGTTTTGACTATATGCTTTGTGACCTCATTTCATTAAAAAATTATATTTAAGTTTGTTTTACTCTCTGAATTTAAAGGGATTGAAACATCTTTTCCTCCCTTGTTAATTTTTTTGTTTTCACAAGAAAGTAAGAAACAAACAAACAAAAATGTAGAACTCACCAGAAGGGGAAACAGAGGATAGTCATTTGTCTTAATTTGATTCCATGGGTTCCTAAGTATATGATGTTGATTATAAGCCTGAAGATACTGGGTAAGGTTCAACTTCTGATAAAACTGATTGATTTTGCTCTGAAATGAAACAAATGTATCAATATTTTTTTAAAAGGCCTTAAAATCTATAAAGTTTTTATTTATTTATTTTTATTAACATATAATGTATTATTTGTTTCAAGGGTACAGGTCTGTGATTCATCAGTCTTACACAATTTACAGCGCTCACCATAGCACATGCCCTCCCCAGTGTTCATCACCCAGTCACCCCAGCCCTCCCACCCCCCACCACTCCAGCAACCCTCAGTTTGTTTCCTGAGATTAAGAGTCTCTTATGGTTTGTCTCCCTCTCTGGTTTCGTCTTGTTTCATTTTTCCCTCCCTTTCCCTATGATCCTCTGTCTTGTTTCTCAAATTCCTCATATCAGTGAGATCATATGATCCTTGTCTTTCTCTGATTGACTTATTTCACTTAGCATAATACCCTCTAGTTCTATCCATGTCATTGCAAATGGCAAGATTTCATTTTTTTTTGATGGCTGCATAATATTCCATTGTATATATATGCCACATCTTCTTTATCCATTCATCTGTTGATGGACATCTAGGCTCTTTCCATAGTTTGGCTATTGTGGACATTGCTGCTATAAACATTGGGGTGCATGTACCCCTTTGGATCACTACATTTGTATCTTTGGGGTAAATACCCAGTAGTGCAATTGCTAGGTCTTAGGGTAGCTCTATTTTCAACTTTTTGAGGAACTTCCATATTGTTTTCCAGAGTGGGTGCACCAGGTTTCATTCCTACCAACAGTGTAGGAGGGTTTCCCTTTCTCCACATCCCTGCCAACATCTGTCGTTTCCTGACTTGTTAATTTTAGCCATTCTGACTGGTGTGAGGTGGTATCTCATTGAGGTTTGGATTTGGGTTTCCCTGATGCTGAGCGATGTTGAGCACTTTTTCATGTGTCTGTTAGCCATTTGGATGTCTTCTTTGCATGTAGGCAAATGATTTCACTTCTTTAATTTCAGTTCCCCTTGTAAAATAGAGATGAAATTCTATTTTGTGTTCATGTCTTCTGCCCATTTCTTGATTGGGTTATTTCTTCTTTGGGTGTTGAGTTTGATAAGTTCTTTATAGATTTTGGATACTAGCCCTTTATCTGATATGTCATTTGCAAATATCTTCTCCCATTTTGTCGGTTACGAATGTATCAATATTTAAGATCAGAATGGAATCTTTTCTATGGGCCAGGGCATATAAGGACAAAACCAAATGATTAAAACTTTAATTAGAAGAAATCGAAATGATGCCAATTCACCAAGCAAAATGCATTTTTAATATAAAATTCACTGTAATAATTTCTACATTCATAGAGTGAATTTCAGTGCTCACTTCAGCAGCACATACACTAAAAACGGAATGATACAGAGAAGATTGGCATGGCCCCCGTACAAGGATGACATAGCGTGAACTTCAGATTAAAGAAATAGTCTGGTTAATTAATGCTCCCTGCTCTTTCAGAACACTCTCACACTGTGACTTTTCCCACTACAGGAGGTGTTCCTTGTACTGGTGACCTACACACATTTCCTTACCCAAACCTTCACCTCAACCTCCTTGAAAGTGGCTCCCAAAGTTGAACCTGATCAATATCACCTACAGACCTCACTGAAAGGCAGATTGCTTAGCTCCAACTCAAATTTTCTGATTCAGTAGGTATGAGGCAGGGCCTATGAATTTGTATGTCTCCTAATTTTCCAGATGCTACTGATGTAACTAATCTGGTGACAACCCTGTGTGAACTGCTCCTCTAAATGATATGAGAGGGTTTCCCAAAGTGAAGCTGTGGTGAAGGCAATTGGCGAGTTCTTGATTTGTCACAAGCTTGTTTTGAAATGCAATTTCTTATGGATTCCTATGCATATTTTCAGAGAGAACAGGGTAGAATAAATAATTCTTCCTAGAAGACTGTCAGTTAGAGCCACCTAAAAATGATTTTGAGAATGAGTATGGTTTTCCTATTACATTCTTTGAATGTTTAAATGTGGATTTGCTAAGAATTATCCAAGTATTATATAACACTTATGGAAAGCCACTATCCTTAAAATAGTTGTTTCACTTTAAAATAAAGAGTATCTTTCCTCACTAGACAAACTGCTAGGAGATTCCTGAGATAGTAAAAACTAATATAATTTTTAATATCTGGTGCAAAAAGAAATGGAATCTTCAGCATTATTTTTAGAATATCAGTAGTAACTTTATAAATGTTCCATATTAATTACCCACTTGATCATTAGTATGAAACACCAAAATGTATTGAAATAAAACATTTAAATCAATTTTTATAAATAATTATTGCTAATCACCTTGGTAAACTATTGAGAAGGATAAACATTATCTTCTGTTTAAGTAATGGTCTCTCCTTCATGAGTATAAGGGAAATTTATGGGTCTAAAATTAATACAGGCAGGGTGAAGTGATAATTTTAAACATTTTCAAAATTATTTTCTGGGGACCAAGGTCCTCTTGTTTTCGGCTTGGGTCATGATCTCAGGATCAGATCGAGCTGCATGTAAAGCTCTGCGCTGGGCATGGAACCTGCTTAAGATTCTCTCTCTTCCTCTCCCCTGCTCCTCTCCTGCTTGCGCATGAGCTCTCTCTCTCTTTCTCTCAAAAAGTAAAATAAAATAAAATGAAATAAAATAAAAATAAAAATTATTTTCTGGTTTACTAAAACAGAAACAATGTATAGGCTAACTTTATATTGAATATTAGTATAAATACTGTCAATTAAATATATTTCATAGAAATAAAAATATCTTACCATTTCACCTATCTTCTTTATTCTTTCCTAAATTAAAAAAAATAGGCATATTATCTCCACACATTGTTTATAATTTACTTCCATTGAATATATAGTGAAAACCTATCTTGCATACAGAACAGCGTAAAGATGAATTCATCTTCTTTCTATAGTTTGCTATGACTAAGATCAACATTTCTGAATTAGTAACAAATTTGCCAACAGTGGTAAATTGAAATATCAGCACCATGAGAGATAGGCTATATCTGCTGTATTCACGGTTGCATTCCAGAGCGTAGGATACTGTGTGGGGTATATTTCTTTCTCATAAATGTTTGTTAAACGAATGAATAGACAAAATTCAAAAAGGTGGTCCATGTATATTTTTTAAAAATTTTAATAGTGAATAGTAGTAGTTACTTTAGATATACTCCTCATGCTTTTATTTTAAGATGCACTTATTTTAATGTATATTAAAAATTACACACTGGGTATTATACACAACTAATGAATTGTTGAACACTACATCAAAAACTAATGATGTACTAAATGTTGGCTAACTGAACATAATAAAAAATTACATAATTAAATCATCAAATCAGTGACTTGGGTAGAGACTACAGAGACTTTCAATTAAAAGCAAATTTATTTGATCATAAAAGAGTAAATTTTGAGAAATTATAAAATATTAGTCTATCTGATTAAAAATACTAAAGGACCAGATCTCTAGGTCTCTATTCCTTGTGAGAACAAACTGGGGAAGATTTACTGAATATGTTGATTCATACATAAATAAATATTCTTCAATTGAATTAGTTGTGAAATTAGGACAAGTGCCTGTGTGGTTATATCTAGTGGAGTTTAATAGAGAAGAAGCCACTGATCCTGTACAGTAGTGATAACTGAAGCCTTTTTATTGTTTTTTTAAAGTAGCTTATTTATATCAGAAATGGGGTCTGACTTTAGGTTTACTCTTAAATTGGGTACCAACAGAAGAAGGTACAAATGCCTGTCTGTATGTATCTCATAGAAATGGGGGTGTGTGTTATAGCTGAGCACCGCAAGGAAAACTGCCCTAATGGGAGAGTGAGATGTTGGGGTGGGAGGGATGTGGGTATGCAGGTTCCCCTGAGAACAGTGTGCTAAGAATGCTGATAGACTGACATATATAATATTATATATATGTGTATATATGTATCTGTGTTTGTGTAGCTCTTTCACGTATTATCTACTTATCTACTCACTATTTTGTGACATGGATGTTATTATAACCTCACTGGGGAATCATGTACAAAGTTACCGCTCAAATCCAGACCTACTAACTCAGTCCTCTGTCACATGTCCTTTTTTTTATATTTTGCCATCATGGTTTCTGGACTACTTTTATGAAGAATGGTGAAATTCTGTCATTTCATGGACAGCTGACTTTGGAATTCTAAATTACGGTGGTGAGACCTGCTTGCATTTCCAGAGACATGCTGGGAAGTGGAGGAGGTTCCTCTAGAAAATTCCAAAAATAATCCATCATGTGATGGAGGAAAATCGATGTCTTCCTTCCTAAAACTGTAGCTTCTTTGACACTACTGTGAAGACACTTCACAGAAGGTTTGTTCTTCACATTCTGTGTAAGACATGTCAATACTATATTTGCTCATGGATTATAAGGTTATATCCTTAATCTCAATTCATTGCTGCTAATGCCCCATATTCTGTGTGTAGTTAAAGATTCACTCTGATGTATCTCAGTAAGAATGGGTGCCATTATGTGTCCCATTATACTTACATGCTTTGCCAGAGAAACAGCCAAAAGGCAGGTAAAGATGAAAAAGTTCATGGTTCCTTGGGGCTGTGAAGACATATATAGAAAATCAAGAACAGATTTTGTCTTCTACAAATGACATGTTCTGACATTTCTCTATTATTATCTTTACAGCAGATAATGGAGAAAGGGCAATGAAGAGAAACAAAAGCAGATGCTTTAAAGAACGCTCATGAATATGAATATCACAGTTTATTTTGAAAGGGCCATTATGTTGTTCTCATTCCACAGGACATAATTTAAAGCCATACTTGCTGCAGTGTGGAAGGGCCATTCAGATATAGTCAGTGTCTGGGATTGTTCTCACTGACAGGCACGTTGTGAAGAACGACCATCAGACACACAAAACACAACAGCACCCTTTTGTATCAGATATCGGGTGAGGCGAAATGCAGCCTGGCTCCCTCCTAAGAAGTAGCAGGTGGAAGTAACCGGCTTGGACAGCCGGTGTGCTGCTAGTTCTGCTTGACCCCGGACTGGCTGCTGAAGCTCCCAAGCCTCTGAACATCACGGGGCCTCGCTGACCACATCTAGCAAATGGGACGGCGCCGCTTCTGAGGTCGCCCCCAGCCAGCTCACTCTGGTTTTTTGACCGAGTATAAATTCAACGTTTTCCCACGTTTTTGTGTAAGTGTAAGCGAAGATTTAAATAAGGTTTTTCTAATGTATTTTCCATACATTTTGCTCATTATACTATGTGTATTTGAAATCTACTTTAAAGAATAATTTTAATTTTTACCCAAGCAACATCAAAATGTGTTTGTGATACAACCTATGTGACTGAAAAGGGCATATACGTACAGGTATTAAATTATCTCTTAATATTGGCATCGTAGAATTTTAAAACAATTTCCAGTCCCATAGTATAAACTTCTTCATCTTTACCCTGAGTAATAATGACACGTAGCTGATGTGCTCATTTGTTCTTCTAAGATGAAAGTATTTTTTACGCATATAATATGGACAGGATGTATTTCACATTGCAAAGGCATTATTGAAAATTGTAAAGTTTATTTTATTGCCCCTCATTAAACATCTGAAATAAATGCATTTTATATATGTTTTTAAATCAATTTTTCTTAGAGATAGTATTTTACATAGGTGAAAGAAATGAAACATCTATTACTGTTCGCTCTGAAATAGACACATATTTAACATATTAGAAATGGAAATTTAAAGCAAATACTGCACTGGACTTTTTAGAATATTATCTGTAACCATCAGAATAACTATATATTTAAAGTATTCTTATCTCCAATTTCTAGATGGAAAATGTGGTCCAGGAACCACACACAGAGGAAAAGATTGCTGGATTTCTAGAAGCCTAGTTACCTTGGTCCTGCCATCAGAATCAAACATTGCCCTTCATGAGTTAGAGTCAAGGTAAATATTGCAGTGTCTACATATTAATTGCACCTTTTTAAAAAACAAGAAGATAAATCATGAGTTTGTATTAATTAAAAGAAAATATCCCAAAATCATTTATTTTTTATAATTTTTAAAATTTTTATTAATATGTTTGAAATGTTGTTCACAAGGCCCTAATGTGAGAGAGAGACTACATGAAAATTACCTTGTTTCTCAAATAGAAGACCAGAGACCAGGCATTGAATGATCTAGGAAGGGTTATCTCAGTACTATTTAAATGTTGTTCCTCCATGTATGGTAATTCTGTGGTTCAAAAGCCATTCAAAATGGCTTAAAAAAAAAAAAGCCAATTGAATTCCAAGAAGTCGCTATGATTAGAAATTGTTTTTCTTCCAGATTTTTTCCCCACAGATTCCAAGGAGTGCTTTAGCACAGTTAAGTTTAGAGCATGATAGCTGAAAATGAGAATGTTACAATGTATAAAGATTATCTGTATTTTGTG